CAGAAACAAGGGTACAAAAAGTGCTTAATGAATAGCTCAAAACATGACCTCTATAGACAAAACCGTGGTTATTTGCTCACTCGGCTATGTTAAACGATTTGAGAGCACATATTCGGAATGAGCGTATCCTCGGCTATCTTTTGATAACAAAATCTTTCTACTTTAAAACGAAATACAACTAGTAACAGCTCATAGAATTCTCGTAACGTCAGTCCGGCATGAGACTACCTTGATATAGTCGAGTCGCCACCGTTAGCCACCTTCCAAAATAACATCCAAATACACCAAAACGTCCCCCAGGCCATGCTACATCACTGTGATTTTCCATTTTTCTTCTAAGTCTAGTTATGGATTTTCCAAAAACTATAGGGTTTTCGAGATATTTCGACGTTTTCTCCATCAAAAATTTACTTTTGCTTAAAAATAATATCATATTCGAAATCAGCGTCAAAAACTGCATCGAATGATGTATAACTTGACAATGTTCAGTAAATCCCCTGTAAAATTAAAACTCAGTGCTTAGGTGAAAAATTGAGAAAAATCGATTTTTTTGACCAGAAACTTCCAAAATGATTTTTTCACTTTCTGACTAACTAGCCGTGTTGAGTAGAGTGAGATAAAGTAGTTTTTGAAGAAAAAAAGTTCATTTCCGCCTGCTCTATGGGAAAATGCCCACTGTGCTGGGACGGCGGGTGAGTTGAAAGTATGAGAACTTATAGTAGCCTAGACATATATAAAGACTGTCAGCCACAATATAGGCAAAAGCAAAACTCTTGTCAATTTAACCTGTGAGATATAATCCAGACAAGTAAGTTCAATCTACTTGTTGATCAATTTTATTATCCACTAATTAGAAAGCCTCTGTGAAAGACTACAGTATTGTGGTGACATAACCTACATGTGAATGATTTAGAGTACATTCTACCTGTGAGAGGTTCATACCTTGGCCACACTAAGAATTTCATTGATTGGCAAGCTTTTCTCAGAAACTACTTGAAAAAACTGAATTTTTGTTAGGAAAAAGCCAGTCCGATGGAAGTTTGTCTCTTACTGAATACGCGGATTTCGCTCAAATTTTTTTATTTGACGCTGAAATACATTTATTTGTTTATAATTATATCGCAAAAATATGATCTCGCTTCGAAATTAATCGAAAATGAGGCTGAGAAGTCGTTTTATTTCTGAGCAGATAAAATATTCACAGTCAGAAAGGAATGACTCATTGTGAGGTCATATCTCTTTCAAACAGCACGATATATTATTACATTAATTGCTTTCTTTCGTATAGACAATAATCTTTTTCTTTTCTACTCTGTTCTGTTAAATATAATAATATATCGTGCTATTTGAAAAGAACAAGAAGAAAGAGATATGACACGTCAACACTCACGATGAGTCATTCCTTGCTGACTGTCAAGAAGAAATCTTTTACCAGACAAAATGCTTCTTGTTCGGTCCCCATCGCTCGTATTCGCTCTTATCTCGTCACTGCTTTCAATCTGCCTAACAATTCCTGCATTCTCCATTTCACATAATTCGACAAATGGTATTCTCCTCGTCGTACTTCCTTTGCTAAATTGTTCATTGATATTCATTGCTGGTACAATATGGATCGAACGTCACTTTGGCGGCTTCTTGATCGTCCTATCCTACATTCCATTCATTTGCTTACTTCTTTTGACAGTCTCATCTATAACATGTACCATTCTATCTATTCAATTCTGGTCTCTGTTCAGTTGGGCCTATATTGATTCTGTCTATCATTGTTTTACTTGTCTTCTTTATCTATCGTTGATCGTTATCGTGTCGATTGCCTATACGTACGGTGCTTTGTGTATTCATCGTCATCGCAACATGATGACACTTAAGCAACAACGCAGAAAATCACTTGAAAAAAGCACTGAATTGCTCAAGATCGATCAACTCACGCTAAGATCAGACGACGATGAACTTTTTATTTTCATGTCAAAATTACCCGGTAGACGAATTCGTAGTGATATTCGAAACCTTTCAACCGATTTGAATCAAATTCAAGTTGACACAATGATTACTTTGAATGAAGATAAAGAATTGTCGTTTATGAATTTTACAAATAATGATGAATATGATGATACTTTTGATATGACCATTTATTCGAGTCGAATCAAACAAGCTAATATCGAACATATTCTCTATCCGATTCGTGATCGTTTTGTACCGACCTCGATCCGCGACTATATGCAGATGCTCATTCTTATTTTGTCGAATAATACTGATTACCATCAGCGACGTCGAATTCTTGTTCATTGTATGGGTGGCATGGGTCGAACGGGGATGACTGTTGTTTGTCTTGAACTCGTTTATGAATATTTGATGAGTCACAAGCAACAACAACAACCTCAATCATTTATCGAACGATTTGTACATTACCCATTGCTGTTGAAAAATCATTGCCGAGTGTGTCGAGCCATTCTAAACGTACGAACAGCTCGCCGAGGCACCATTCATAATCCCCTACAAATTTTGTTTGCGCACGAGTTCTATGCTCGACTAAAATGTTCTTCATACATGCGACAAATGAAAAAATAATGCTGACTTTATCATCGCGATAAATATACTTCTTTTATACGAAGATCATCTATAGGATGATAGGTGTGGGACGGGGTTCGATAAGAGGCAAAATCGGTCCCCTCTCAGATCGATTTCATATTCATAAGTCTGATGTGATTTTTCTTCGTGATTAAAACTAGCACCTTAAAAAGATCATTTTCACCCACCCGCCTGGTAAAAATCTCGTATCCATGCTTTTTTTTCCTTAGATGAACTCTATTTAGTAGAGGTATCATTTTACTGTTCTCTACCAAGTGATAAGTAATAAAACGTATTACTTCTTACCTGGAAACAAGCGATAAATCTTATTACTTTTTTCAAGTAATAATCTTTTATTACTTTACGTATTACTGATAAGAAAAAAAGTAATAAAAAGTAATCAGTAAAATGGTGAAAAAGAACATTTTCACCCCTCCCCCCCCCTAACGCCAGAAATACTACTTGCGAGCGATATTTTCGGCATCGACGGATAGGCTACCATTTACATCGACCATTGACGTCAACGATGAGACCGACCTCATATTGTAGAACTCAGCAAGCTGAACCGAATGATGAAAACCGCAAGTCTCTGACCTTGTTAGAAAACAAGCTAGTTATTTCACCCTCGCAGCAGAAAAATGCATTTTCGTCATTTTCCGGTGGATTTGACTTAACTTGTAGAACGTCTGCTGACCACATACCCTAATGTAGAACCTTGAAGTTGGTTCCAAATGAAAGATCGCATCGAGTTCTATGAATTTCGACGGAGAAACGTTGTGCTACACCTCGGATTCTTGATATAGAGATTGCTGACAAAACCCGATTTTCTAGTAATTCTAGTGATCATAGAGTTTCTTTCAGAAGCCTTTCAACCATATCATCATATAGCCCCTTAAATTCTCCATAAAATAAGATGCTGACCGGGCTTCTACGGTCGTGGACAACCGAGTTACAGGCTTTTTAACATTATGAATATAGATTCAGTCGCGTTAATGCCGTTTTCGATCTGTATCGTATTTGCTATGCCACTTTTCGTTACAACATCGTAGAAAATTAGCTTACTTTATGCTTCTGAAAGAAACTCTATGATCACTAGAATTACTAGAAAATCGGGTTTTCCCAGAAATCTCTATATCAAGAATCCGAGGTGTAGCACAACGTTTCTCCGTCGAAATTCATAGAACTCGATGCGATCTTTCATTTGGAACCAACTTCAAGGTTCTACATTAGGATATGTGGTCAACAGACGTTCTACAAGTTAAGTCAAATCCACCGGAAAATGACGAAAATGCATTTTTCTGCTGCGAGGGTAAAATAACTATAGCTTGTTTTCTAACAAGGTCAGAGACTTGCGGTTTTCATCATTCGGTTCAGCTTGCTGAGTTCTATAATATGAGGTCGGTCTCATCGTTGACGTCAATGGTCGATGTAAATGGTAGCCTATCCGTCGATGCCGAAAATATCGCTCG